GCGGCCGCCCCGGCGGCCCCAGGAAGGGGGTCCCGGCGAGGCGGGTGCCGGGCGCCGTCCCGGGCTCCCGACGCGCCGACAGCGGCTGCGTTGAGTACACGGCGGGGACACGGGAGCGGGAACGGGCGGCGCGGGGCCCCCGGACCTGCCCTGGACGGGGGGTCCCCAAAACACCCGCCCTGCGCGCGGGCACCGGGGACACCCCCCGAGTGTGGGGCCGCAACGTGCCCCGAGAGCGCGGGGACCGCAACGTCCCCCCCGTGAGCGCGGGGACCCCAACGTCCCCCTCGAGTGTGGGGACCCCAATGTTCCCCCCCGGGCACGGGGACACCGCGCGCCCCCACCCCGAGCAAGGCCCCGCGCAGCCCCCCGGCCCGGCACCCCCGCCGCAGCCACGGCCCCTCCTCCTCTAGCGGGGCGCGCCCACGTGGTCCCGACCCGGCCCCAGCTCCGGTCCCGGCCCGGTCCGGTCCCCGCTCACCGCGGCGCCGAGCGAGCGAGCGAGCGCTCCCGCCGCCCTCCGCCGCGCGCAGGCGCCGCGCGGACTACAGCTCCCAGCGCACCGCGCGCGGGCCGACGGCACCCGGAACCGACCAAAACACCCCGGCGCGCGCCTGCAAACTACAACTCCCAGCAGAGCCCGCGCGCAGCACCTCGCCCTCAGTGCCCGCCCCGCCGCGGGGCCTGCTGGGGGCTGTAGTCCTCGCTGGCTGCCCGAGGGGCCCATGGCCCCCGACGGCTGCGTCCTCCCGCCCCGTCCCGGGGGCTGCAGCCCCACGGGGAGACTCGTTGGCTGGGGACAGGGAAGGTGTTTGCGGAGCTCAGCCCCTGCCAGCCCCCAGGGCCCACGTGCCCCATCCCCGCTGCCTCCTGCGCGCTCCGGCGGGCTGGGATCCTGCACGGAGCAGAGTGGGGCAGGGAGATCCAAGGGACCCCGCTCGGGCTGGGTGACAGGGACCGTGTGATGAGCCATGACAACAAGCCCAGCTGTGACAGTCCGGGACCAGGCTGTCCTGCACCCCACCTCAAGCACTGGCATCCCCAAGGCACATCTGTCCCTTCGAGGAGGAGCTGGGTGCGGGTCCCCATGTGTCCCCTGGCCCAGGGATCCACACGAGGGCAGATCCTGCAATGAGGATGCACTTCCACAGCCGCGGGCACCAACGGGGCAGGAATGGGAGGCTTGGGCAGCTCCTGCCCCCGGGCTGAGGCTGCAGCCTCCCCTTAGCGCCGCTCCGCGACGTCGAGAGCTTTTTGCGGGGCGCAGGCGCGGGCGCACACATGGTTAACGCGGCCGGCGCGCGCCGCAGGGCTCACATCTGGCAGGGGGAGGGCGGCTCGCGGCTGTCCCGCTTCTTCGCTCTCCTCCTTGACGTTCTCGGAGAGCGCATTTCCGCCCGGGCCGGGAGGAGAGGAGGCCGCCGGGGAGCGGGGGCTGGCGGCACCGCGCCAGGGAGATGCCCTAAGGGCAGGAACGGCAGCGGGAGCAGAGAGCGGCCCTGCCCCACAGGTAGGTGGGGGACCCCCCCATTCTGCTGACTGGCTCCGTGGGGCTGAGCCCCTTGGCAGGGCACGGCCCGACCTGCAGAGCTCCGGGAACCTGCGGACCCCACAGAGCATCGACAGCCCTGGAGCGCAGCCATCCCTGGAGCTCCCGCCCTGAGGGTCCTGCTCTGGGCGGCTCTGGGTTGGGGGAGCCACTGTCCCCGAAACCCCCTGGCTCTGCCGCTGCAGATCAGCGCCCCGTGAGCAAGGGGGGCAGCACCACACAACTTCTGCTGCCCCATCCCACTCTCCGACTCGCTCCTGCGGCGTCTTCAGCAGCGCCTGGAATGTGTCTCAGTGTGTTTTGACTTGCAGCCCCAAGCCGCTGAGTTTAGATCTCCAAACCGCTGCTGGAGAGTGTCCAGGAGCAAACAGAGGCAAACAGGAGCAAAGAGAGTCCCTTCTGCAAGGCCGTGTGTGCCTGTGCATCTCGGTGCGCCCGGCGGTGCCGGGGGCTTGGCTGGCCCAACATGCACCCGGCACCTTCGCCTCCCTTCGGCAGCCTGGGAAAGGAGCCACCTTTTCTCCGCGGGGTTTTTTTGGCTCGGGCTGCAGAGCAGCTCCCTGCAGCGCTGCCCTTTCCCAAGGTCCGAGCCTGCTGTGGGTCCCATGGGAGCACTGGTCCTGCCGGGAAGCAGCGGCGCCGGCGCAGAGGGAAAGCCGCGGGTTTCCCGGCACCCGAGCACGGCATCGCCCGCTTGTTATCACACATTGGGCAGGGCCAGAGGACAGGCAAGGTTAACAGAGCAGGGCCTGGCACCGCCCTGGCTTTTATCTGCGTCTCCCGGGCACGGGGAGGCGGCCGTGGCGCCAGGCTCCGCGCGGCGCCGGCGGCTCTGCCTCCACGGGCGCCCGCGCTCCGGCGGCCCCGGGGCTCCGGCACAGCCGCTCCGGGCAGGCACGCGGGGAGGCGCGTGAGGGGCCGGCCCCGCGGAGGGAAAGCCCTTTGGAGCCTTCCCGGCCTCCTCCCCTCCCCGCAGCGCTGCACATGACTCACCCGCCAGGCATCCTGGCCTCGGACGCCCTCCGGATGCCGCCAGCCCTGGCGCACACGGCAGCGCAGACCCTGCGCGCGGCCATCCCACCCGGGGGGATCCCTGAGCGGGGTCCCTGCTGCGCGGGGAGCCCTGCACCCAAACGGCTGCATCCTGCCCCAAACTCGGCCTGCCCGACCCCTCTCCTGCGCAGGGCTGCAGCCCCGGGCTCTCCTGGGACCCCTATTCCCGGCTCCTGTGAAGCTGGCAGCCTGATGGGCTCCTGGAGCCCTTGGCCTCCGTGCGCTGCCGGCGGGGAGGCCGCCCGCAAGAGGCTCAGACCTGGCCTCAAGTTAGAGAACAGGGAGTGGACAAGGGGAGGAAGGGCGGCTGCCTCCTCTGGACCTGGGGCCCACCAGCTACAGCAAATATTAGCTCTGGCCCCGGGCAGGATGTGGCTCCTGGCTGCTCGCAGGGCTCCTGCCGGTGCCTCTGGCTCCTGGCGGGTCAGGATGCCGGGAGCTCCCGTGTCCCCAGAGGGCAGGGCTGCTCCTCGCAGACCCGCGGGTGACGGGCCCGGCTGTGGGCACGAGCCCAGGGCTGGCGGCTGCCCAGTGGAACGAGCCCGAGGGTGGACTCTGCACCCACGGGAGGGATGGGATCCCTGGAGCACAGGGTCCGGGCGGGAAGTGGGGCTGGAGCCCCTTCCCGCAGCACATCCCGCTGCGCAGGACAAGGTGTGACGGGCCCGTGTCCCCCCACTGTCCCCGTGTCTTGCAGGGCGCTGCCGCGGCATGGAGGGGCTGCGGGCAGCCCGTGCCCTGCTGCTGTGCTGCCTGCTGCTGCCGCACGCCGCGGGGAGCCCACCCAGCCCCGGGGAGGCTCCGTCCTGGCACCGCAGGTGAGGGACGGGGGGACAGGGTGGCCGCGGCGCCGCGAGCAGCCCGAACCCACCACGTTCTGCTTTCCGCCCCGCGGGGCAGGGGGCAGCAGGAGCGCGGTGCCGCGGACGGGCCGTCACCATCACCGCAGTGCGTGCGCTGCTGCGAGCCGCGCTACGAGCCCCCGCGCCAGCCCCTGCCGCACATCAACGTCACCATCCTGAAAGGTGAGCGCGGCCGGGCCGCACGTGCCGCTCCCCCAAAGAGCTGCGTCCCCCAAAGAGCTGGGTCCCCCCGTGACCAGGGACATGGCGCCCCGCACGGAGCACGGGGTGCGGATGAGGGCTCCCCCCTGCTAATGGGGACAGCAGGGTGGAGGGCAGCAGAGCCCAAGCAGCAGCTCTGGGGGAGGCAGCGTCCCGTCCTGCCCCCATCCCGTGTCTCAGCACCGGCTGCCGGTGCCAACCCCACAACATCCCCCTCGCCTCCTGCTTTGCCCAGGCGAGAAGGGGGACCGCGGCGAGCGAGGCCTGCAGGGCAAGTTTGGCAGGACGGGGGTGGCCGGCAGCAGGGGCCACCCGGGCCCCAAGGGGCAGAAGGGCAGCACGGGTGCGCCGGGCGAGCACTGCAAGAGCCACTACGCGGCCTTCTCGGTGGGCCGCAGGAAGCCCCTGCACAGCAACGACTACTACCAGACGCTCATCTTCGACACGGAGTTCGTCAACCTCTACGGCCACTTCAACATGTTCACGGGCAAGTTCTACTGCTACGTGCCCGGCATCTACTACTTCAGCCTGCACGTGCACACGTGGAACCAGAAGGAGACGTACCTGCACATCATGCGCAATGCGGCCGAGGCCGTGATCCTGTACGCGCAGGTGGGCGAGCGCAGCGTCATGCAGAGCCAGAGCGTCCTGCTGGAGCTGCACGAGCGCGACGAGGTCTGGGTGCGTCTCTACAAGGGCGAGCGCGAGAACGCCGTCTTCAGCGACGAGTACGACACCTACGTCACCTTCAGCGGCCACCTCGTCAAGTACAGCGGGGACCCCTGAGGCTGCTGCCCCGGGAGCCGCTGCTGCCCCTTGCTGCCCCCTTAGTCCCTTTAGGTGCCCCCACCCCAGCTGCAGCAGCCTGCGGACACCCCGTCCAGCCCCAGCAGCTCCTCTGGAGCCCGATGGATCCGATGCACCCAGCAGTGCTTGACGCAGGGAGCGCCCTTCCTGGGACAGGAGCGGGACAGCAGGAGGGAGCAGCACCAGAGACACTGTATGGGGGCAGGGGCTGCCAGCACAGGGGTCTCAGCCCCCGGCCTCTCGCTCTGTGCCTGGCTTTTCCGCTGGCCTGGCTGTTAATTTGGGTGCGCACATCAGCAGAGGGGCCCACGGCAGCACCCGGCCGCCCACGCCCCCATGGCTTGCACTGACATTAAACAGCCCCCGGGCTGAGTCCTTGTCACACCTTCGCTGCCTCCTCCTGTTCCGTGTGCGTGTCCCCTGAGCGGCTCCAGCAGAATCCCCGCTCCCAGTGGCCTGGGAGCTGCAGGTGCCCCAGGGGGGACACTGACCCTGCACCCCACCAGGCAGGAGCATTCCCGACCTGGAACAGGGCATGGGGAGTGCAAGGACTGCTGCTCCCGTGGGGCAGGGACACAGGAGCAGAGCCCAGCACAGAAGCCTCACAGGCCAGGCCCCATCCTGCCATCCTGAGCAGGGCAGAGCAGGGAGAGCAGCCAGGTCAGTGGGACCCTGATCTCCATGTGAGCTGGGGAGGGGGTGACACAGACCCAGGGCTGAGACAGCAGCCACCTGTGAGGACAGAGTTCAGGTCAGAGCTGCAGGGTCCCTGCTGGGCTGAGCTGAAGCCCAGCATGGCCACAGAGGAGCTGGGAAAAGAAGGGCTCCAGGCTGAGCTTAAATACGTCACAGGCTGCAGGGCGTGGGGGACCCAGCTGAGGCTGCTCACCCTGAAGGGTTGGCGGTGCCCTGGCCCTGGTGCTGAGGGTGCCGGACTGGGGCCCTGCATCCCCCCTGGTGCAGGGCGAGGGGCCGGGGCGGCCTTCCCGCCTGTCCCAACGCGGCTCCCCTGGGGGTCGCAGCCCCAGGGACCAGGCCCTGCCCTCCCTGCCCGGCCTCCCCGGGCTGCCACGAGCGGCCCAGCGGCCGAAGCGTCCTCAGAGCAAGGAGAAAACAAAAGAGCTCCCGATTTGAGGGAGGAAACGCCGCTCGGCTGGTATTTGCAGCGCCGCGGCACTGAGCGGCCGAGGCGGAGCCGCGCAGCCGGGATGGGCGGGCGCCCCGCGCGCGGGGCCGGCCCGGGCGG